TACGATATCGCCACGATATTGTAATTAAAAAGGCAGACAAAAACAACATATGTGTTGTTATGAACAAACAAAATTATATTAAGGAGGGCGATCGCCAATTGAACACTAAATATTACGAAATAATTGACGATTTTGATTTATCAGTGCTCCAAAGGAATATTGAAAATAAAATCAATGAACTTAAGGCAAATGGGTATCTAGATAAAGTTACATATAGATTTTTAATGGATATTACGTATCCACGAATAGGTAGATTATACTTACTACCTAAACTTCACAAATAAGATCAGACGATGTTTGATCTTATCAAAGAACAGGGCCACTACAATCAAGAAATCATTTGCCCGGCACGACCTATTATCTCGCAATGCGGGTCGGCGACGGAACGAATCAGCCAATATGTTGATTACTTCCTAATACCAATAGTCAAAACACAATCCACTTACATCAGAGATAGCTCTGATTTCATAATAAAAATAGAAAAACTTAGACCTCAAGCAGAATGCGTAATGGTCAGTTATGATGTAACATCCCTGTATACAAATATGCAGTTCAACGAATTACTCACAGCTGTCAGTGAAGCATACTCTAAATTCAACAAAGGAGAATTTAAAATTCCTTCGCCACCTACAGAAGATCTTCTGTGGTTGTTACAAACAATATTAGAAAATAATGTCTTTGAATTTAATTCTAAGAAATATAAACAAATTATAGGCTGCGCAATGGGCTCAAAATGCAGTCCTGAAGTGTGCGATATTAGAATGTATGAAGTCACTTCGGAAATTCTAAACAAATTTCCATTTCAACATAATATTGTTTATCACGGTCGATATCGAGGTGATGGATTTATAATCTATCATGGGGAAATGGATGAAATTCGTCAATTTTTCCAAATAGCAAATCCACATCATCCTCTTTTAAAATTCACATATGAAATTTCTGACAAAGAAATGAACTTCCTTGACATCACCCTATTTAAGGGAGAAAGGTTTGAATTAGAAGGAATTCTTGATGTCAAAACTTTCATAAAACCTACAAATACTTTCCAGTATCTGGAACGCAATAGTGCACATAGCCCTTCTGTTTTCAAGGGAATCATTAAAGGCGAAATCATTCGTCATTTACGCAATACTAGCGATTCTAATATTTTTCACAATGCGATCGAGAAGTTCAAATTTTCTCCGTTGAAAAGAGGATATAATGAAAATGAGATTAACAGTTCAATGAACAATGTTCTAGAAAATTACAAAAGAGACCATTTAAATCAAAAAAAGAAAGTTAACAGTAATTCTGATATACCATTGGTCATGGTTACAAAATACAACCCAGCCATTAGCAATATCAAAAAGAAATTGCTAAAATACTGGCACACTCTATCAAGAGAGCCCGAACTCAAAGATATATTCAAAGACAAACCAATTATAGCATATAAAAAACACAGGAGTTTAGGAGATCTCCTAACAAGTTCAAAACTTTAATAAAAGTTAGTAAAGCCTCACTTACTGGTCAATTACAATGTAATCAACCATATCATTTACTGACATATCTCAGTCAGAGACAGTTAACAAATTATCGCTTTCTTGCATATTTATTTACACAAACAACTTTCAACTTCATCATATAAGTGGATTCCTGATGATGGCGGACTTATATAACTAATTATAATTAGTATAGAATATCTATTTATTGCTTGGCCTGTTATCAGACCGCCGAAACACTAAATTAGTGTCGGATCTAAGTGAAAACGGGGTTCGTGGCTTGATGGGAGTCACTTTTTTACTACGGATAGCTTCAGACAATTGTCGCAGGTAAACACAGATTTCAAACTTGTTTTTAATTTTCAAAAACGCAAAATTCTAAAGCTACAAATTAAAATAAGCCGAGTTTTCTTCCGTATAAGGCTTAATCATTTTTCGTTCAGCTCGGAGAAAGAATTCATCGAGTGACTTGTGTCTCTACGTGTTGGATTCTGAAGACCTTTATCTTCAGTACATCAAGGATCACTCTTTATGCAACATACACACAAAAAATATACAAATTATCACTCAGAAATAAGGAAAATCTAATTTCGATTTAAATCATCGAGAAAATTTCAGCGTGAAGATTTGATGTTTACAGGCCGTAGGAAGCAATTTCAGTTTGTTTTTTTTTGGGGGGGGGGGGGGGGGGGCACAGCTATACATTTTCAGTTGAGGGGCACTATCAACTACCAAAAATTCCTTGACAAGCAAAAAAAAACGAAAAAAAGGTCATCAGACGTTTTTATTGAGGGGGCACAAGCATATGATAGATATCTTTTCTATAGTAAACTATATAGGGGCAAAATTATTGGGCCCCTCCGTGCCCCCCCCCCGGTTCCTACGGCCATGGTTTATACATGTAATTTTCAGGATTTCTTTAAATAATTCACGCCTTCCCGAATTATAGAAATCGCTGATTTCCAGTCTAATGTTTTTTTAAAATCTTTATCTAGTCTGATGATTTAATCTTTAAAGTATAACTTTTTTTGTACAGAGTGAACACCCCGTCACAGATAGAGAACGCTTGACACACAATTCTTTTACATCTTCAGGAAGAGAACTCACAAAGGAAAATGCGGTACATACTAATACTACATGTAGAATTATTCGATATTTCTTAAGCATATATATATTAGCTGTGTATTATCATTGAGTTTATCTTTTTGTCCCTTGTAGGCTGTGCTCCCCAGAAGAAGACTTTCATTCGGGCAACGTGTGCTCAAGTTTCTGGGGATCAATTAAAGCATGGACATAAAAATGATACTGAAAACACGTCGAAGATATTGCATTTGATATTGGAATATTTATTGTGGTTAAATAGTTACTTTATGTTTTAAGCTATTCCTACCAGCTGTATGTTATATTTTTTTGACTAGTATCTGTTTTATGGATTTATTTTGAGATTAAATCCCTCCAATAATGGAGAATATATTGTGTAATGTTCTTTCTACATTTTCATCATTGACGCTCGTCGAAACTGATCGAAAAAAAACAAGCATTCTGAGAGTATTGCATAAGCAATACTAGTCCCCTACCGGCAAGTGTAATCTGGTTCCCGTAAAAATTGAAAAAGCCATAATTCAGACAAAAATTAATGAAGCGGGACGAAATGCAAATTTGATCTATAAGTAATCAAGGTAAAGCCACATACCAAAAATCAGCTCTATATCTACAAGCGTTTAGAAGAAAATTGCGGAAAACCCTTAAAAATTGAAAAAGCCGTAATTCCGTCAAAAATCAATGAAGCGGAACGAAATGCAAACTTGATCTGTAACTCATCAAGATACACTCACATACCAAAAATCAGCTCAATATCTGCAAGCGTTTAGGAAAAAAGTGCGGAAAACCAAGTGGGACAGACTGACAGACAGACAGAGGGACAGACAGACAGACGGACAGACAGACGGACGGACAGACTCAGAGGAAACCTATAGTCCCCTCCGGTTTCACCGGTAGGGGACTAATAATATAAATAAATGAAACAAATGACTCGTTGATAAGATTTTTTTGATAACTAATTTAACACAATATTAAATGTTTCAATAAGAAATAGTATTACCAAGTTCTCGTTGTATTTTAGATAACTTGGACGCGAACACCCCCCACCCCCCCACCCCCCTCCAAAATAGGATTTTCGAGTTTGGATTTTTTTTTTTTTTTTTTTTTTTTTGGTATGTCAATTTTTTTTAGGCAAGTTGTCCTTTTTGTCTGGCTGCCCCTGTCCCTTTCAAAAACGATACTATGTGTGTGTGAAATTAAGGTAGATTATAATAAAAAAGAATTTGCCATGACCCTGATTGAAGAATATTTGGACGAAGTCATCTAGGGACAAAAGGCCGGTGCATACAGGACGCTGTAAATCAGTTTTTAGTAGTCCTCGTGAAAATTTTCATTAGAGGGTGGACCCGAAATGTCGAGGTGATCAGAGGATCCAAGACCATCAATCTGATTAAAATCAGTTCTTTGTTGCGCTCCGAAATTCTGATAGTCGCTGTACATGCGCACTGACTATTATGAAGAATTCGGAGCATAACAAAGATCTTATTGCAAGTCCATAAACTGAGAGAAGACTTTTAGTCAAAATTTTCAAATCTGTATAACTATAAAAGTTTGTCATAAATTTGCAATAATAAAATTTTCATGTGTTTGGATTAGAATATTAAACAAACTTGTAACTTTTTAAAACAATGTTTGTTGAATAAATATCAAGATATTGAAAATCTGAAGTCTTATAGCTTGATCATCTCACCGTTTAAGGTATTCAATGTATAAAAGTGGGATATTTGTCATTTTCGGTAAATATTCAACTTAATTTACACATGCGATTCAACATATAATCTTTTTATACTCTTCTCCATAGATTATGTATCTCAGTGTTTATTCTACATGAGGCAGAATTGGATTTCTGTATATCCTTTAGCACAGACTCTTACTGCCTATTGTTGATGTATCAGACATATTTTTATTTGTTCTGATATATGTATATTGCATTAAAATAATAATGCACATGTCAACATATATCTACATATGAAACTTAAAAATACCACCAATGTACTAAATGGAAGAATTGCTCTTCATTATAATTATGTTGCATTTTGTCTGTTAATTTATCTGTTATGTTTATGCCCTTTGGGACCTGATTTGGTAATAAATCCTATTCAATTCTATATATAGGTCCCTGGTTATTATAACCTATAGAGCATCTATTTTGCGATATCTAAAAAAAAACTCTCTTAATAGAGTTTTCACGAATCATATATTGATCTTTGGAATATTTTTATATTTTCCTTGATTTGACTGTTTGTTAAAAAGATGTTTTTATCGGAAGTCATTCGAGCTACATATCCGGGAAAATTGGATCCGCTCATGTTTGGTGTGGGCATTTATGCACGCTTGAAAATTTCCAGCGTCATCCGATTCTAAATTCTACTTTCAAAACGACAAAAATAATGATGTCGTAGATTTCACTTTGACTTTCTTGTTGAAAATATTAAGATGGATGTTGATAATGAACTGGAGGGTAAACTGCTACAGCAGTTCAGCTCCATGGGGACAACTGACAAAGAAGTTTTGATCTCGGAATTTCAGAAGTTACTAGAACCAAACCAATTGAATCCAGCAGGATGTGCATTTTTTCTTGATATGAATAACTGGTGAGTGTCTGTTGGTCATTTTCATTTAAGGTTCCATAGAGTTTCTCTTTCAGGACATCTCAATTAGAAAAACAACACTTTTTTTTTACATTGTTCTACAAAATTTGCAATATTTAACAGGAGTGTTCAACCACTCATTGTCCTATAATTTCACTGTCCATTTCTTCTATAATACATAAGTCCTTTTAAAGAAAAGTAATACGTAGTAAAAACATCATAGAATAAATCAGAATAAGAAGAATTAGCCAAATTTCTTCAGTGCCTCGGAAGGTCAAACAGGCCCCGCTATTCAAAAAATGATGGGGGCCATTTTTTAAATATAAGGGGCAGAGAAAAAATACATTAGGTCCATTCAAAAATATTTCATGGTATAATGCTATGATAATGCATATATTTCAATAACAGAATTTAGGAAAATAAAAAAAAAGGTGATAGGAGTTGATAAATCATCGTATCTGACAATGACTTGTGGAAATGACTTTCTGTTCCAGAACTTAGTAAATCATTCATCATCTAACAGCAAGTATTTTGAAAATTATATTTTAACCAAAAGTTAAAACCAAAAGCCAATTCAGAGATTGAGGTACAGGCCAAGATAAGTAGATTTTGTTGATGTTGTATTTCATTGTAATGATTGTATTAAGGGTAATATTTTCCGTGTGCATGACTTCGCAAAGTTAAAATATTTGTGATGCTGTGCTCAGCCATCCAAAATGACTTGTTGATACTTACAAACCATGTGCAAGGAAAAGTTTCTGTTTATTTACCAGTGGAATGTTAATATGTTGAATGATGGTTCTGATTTTTTATATATGCTACATCACAGATTCCATCTAACTTTGATGAAGAATGAAGAGCGCATTTTTTTTGCAGTGCACCATTTACTGGCATAGTGTGCATTTGGCGCAGCCCCTTCTCAGGCCCAGTTTCTTTGCTAGACTTGCAATGACATACCAAACCTTCATGTATACATTTGTACATTTATATGTCAAGGCATAGTACACAGGTCTAGTACAATCAATAGCTTGAGAATGACTTTAAATTCTAGTGAGGCAAAAACCATAAATGCAGGCCCGGGGGGGTGGGGGGGGGGTGGGTTATAATACAGAATTTTTTTCAATTTTACCATTTTCCTTACTGAAGACTTCAGCATGCAGATGTGATGCTTCATATTGTATAAGTATTCTAAAGAGTTAATTTATATGTTTTCTCAAACTTTTTACACATTCAAAGGTGATTACATGTTTTATTTCACTTTGTTTTTATTTCTTTAAAACTTTAATGGCATTTGGACCTTGGGATATGTGAATTTTCTTCCGATCTTAATGATACTATAAATGTTAAACATAGATTTGCTTAAAAGTTAAATAAATTGCAGTTAATTTTGAATACAAAATATTTTCTGCAATGTATTTTTGATTATGGGAGGGGATGGTGGTGGTGAAAAATCTAGTGAAGCTGTTGCTTCCTTGCCACAATGGAAGCTATGCCCCTTGTAGAAATTGTACTGGACCTGGTACATTCAGAGACACAAAGAATGTTATAAAATTTATGAGACCATCTCTTATACATTCAGAAGAGTAGGACAATAAATTACTAGTTCTAATGACCATCTGAAAGAAAAAATCAACAATTTTTGTTGTGACGGAAAGGTTCATGACATGAATTGCCTGCTCTCACTCATACACTCTCCATTACATCTGGCTATGCCATTAGATTAGCTCCTGAATTTTTCTTGATGGGAACAATTTATACAATTCCTGATATCTACTTATTGGTACAATGTCTCATTAAAATCTGAAGGTAGAAGGAAGATATTCTGCTGCTGCAGAAAGACCAGAGTGAACAATGTAGTTTGAAGTGCACATATCAATGTAGTGTACAATAGGTGTATATAAAGTTGTTTACAGTCTGTTCTTGATAACCAGGAACATACCTTATGTATTGTCATCCTGTTAAATAGAACTTATGAGACTATCATGAGATCTACATAAATGAACAAATGTACCAGATATCATGCAGATCCTCAACTTATATAATTATTACATGCTTGAATATGTTGAAGATTCTTTTAGTGTCTGTACAGGGATAGACATTAACTTTCAGATTCACTTGCCCTTCGGGCAAGTGATCTCAAACTTTGACTTGTCCGAATGCAAAACTTGGTTGCCAAATTAGGATGGAACTTAAGACGAAAATTATTAATTACTGCAAACGTTATGAAAAGAAAAAATGTGACAAAATACGCTACTGTCAATTTGGCAAGTTGAGCTACCTGGTACCTGAAAAAATTTTGATCCTGCATTTGTACATAAATGTATACCGCTTGTAAATGTACTTGTAAATGTAACCTGTTAGCACACACTGGCATGCAGCAATAACCCTCAATTTCCTTTTTAAATATCATATTTTTTAAAATTATTTGCGGTAGGATCATTTTGTAATTCGTGATTTTCAACGATAACTGTGAAGCAACGCTTAAGGAAGATAGTTGCTACAAAACATACATCTTACCTTGATCAGGATACAACGTGTTACACTGTACTTGTATTCTGTGCTTGAATAATCTAATTTCCTAATAAGAAGTTAACAAAATTTTGTTAGACGTAGAGTGTATTTCCTACGAAAGAAAACAACAAACTCGATTTTTAAATGAACGGTATAATCCAGAAATGCTACCAAGGAATTTCAAATGCAAAACATTGTCAGTCAGGTGCGTGGCGGAAATCAAGTGTTCAATTTATTGTTTTATTTATAAATTAATGTAAACTAAATAAATATGTACATTTGTATCAGAAAAATTCACTTGCCCGATCGGACAAGTATGTCGACAATTTCACTTGCCCGAACTGAGAATTTACTTGTCCCGGGCAATCGGACAACCATTAATGTCGATCCCTGCTGTAATTGCATATGCATAATGAAGAGAAAAAATGCTTTGTAGGAATTTACAGGCAGCAATATGCTCATACTATGATTATGACCAACCAACAGTGCAACTGCAAGTTCCTTGTATGAAGTTTGTCAAAGATGTGACGATTGGAGAGGGAGAGGCTGTTCCTCCCAACACCACATTTACCAAAACATGGAGAATACAAAACTCAGGTGAGGATACCAGTCACACTTCACTGAAAATGAATAATATCAAGAGAATTTTTTCTGAATTTAGCAGTATACATGCATGCATTTAACACATTAAATGAATTCACACATTATAATGCAGGAGATGACCGATGGCCACCAGGCTGTAACCTACGGTACTGTACAGGTGACAATTTAAGTAACACAGATCGTGCTATTGTGGATGCTTTACTACCTGGTCAGGTAACAGATGTAAGTGTGGAAATGCACAGTCCCTCCAACACAGGTGTTTACCAGAGTCAGTGGAGGTTATCCACACCTACAGGAATGTTTTTTGGAGGTTTGTCCATTTTGTTGAAATGTGTGTTAGGCAAAAATGCTACATATATATAGTCCAGTTTCCTGTCTCAAGGAAAATTATAATAGATATGTTAGATTTTTTAAAAAAATTCCAAAGTATGTTTTTTAAATATCAAACTTGACTTTTCATAAAATCATTTGACAATCCTTACAAAGAATATATGTTCTGAATGTGATAGAAATGTGAAGCAACAATATAAAGGGGCTTGGACACTGATTTGAGATTACTATCTTCCAATATTTCCATTTCTATTTGTTTTCTCTGTGATAACTCTTTAAAAGTTCTTGATCACTCTACCGGAATGCAAATTTCGCCTAGCGAAAGGTCAGGAGTGAAGAAGGCTTAATATGCATGTAATTCTCGTGTGGCTGTCTTTGATCTGACTCTAAGGAGGCCTAATGTGCATTTAATTCTCATGCGGCTGTCTATGGTTTGACGTCAGTGACCGGGGATTATTGAAATTGACATGTGAGGCCTCGTGTAATTTATCTATTAGTCTACATTTTTAAAATCTAAATTTACAATTTTATTTCACAATAAAATGGAAATATAAGGAATCACTGTCTAGTTAGTAGAGTATGCCAGGGACATCAACGATAGTTGGAAACGTGGGATAATTTTCGCATAATGAGCTTCGCCCGTTATGCAAATTATTCCACATTTCCAACTATCGTTGATGCCCTGGCATACTCTACTAACTAGACAGTGATTCCTTATTAGTTAAATATATTCAGTATAATATCATGAACTATATGTTACCGGAGCATTTCTCACTGAAATAATATAAAAGTCTGTTTAGAATCTCCTTTTTTTTTTTTAACATATCCTGCCATGAACCATCTTGCATGAATGACAAATCTCGAGATACATGTATACCAAGTGCTTTTTTTAAATTGCTCAAGTGATATGTAGTTTTAGTTGTTTAAGGAACCATTTGTATCTAATGAATCCTACTGAACACTTTTTGATATGAGACCTGTCTCTCACTTAGAAAGATAAAAATCATTAAAGTGAGTCTCACATTCTAGGAATTATTTTAAGAACCCCTCAAACTCTGCCTAAATATGCATATTATATGAATAAAAATAAATAAGGATATAGTAAATATCTTTATTACATTTTCAACAGTGAAATACTGTGATTTATTCATTGAATAAAAGTGATATTCTCTCACAGTGTGAAAGGATACCAAAAGTGATATTCTCTCACAGTGTGAAAGGATATCAAAGTAAGTAAAATATAATTTCTGGCCTGTAATAAGATTGATATAGTAACTAAATCATCTTGACAGAGACTAAAACTGCCAATTTCTTCCCAAATATGTTGCTAAAATCCATGCTATGTAATGTTTTCAATCACACAACTTCTAAGCTATGACGTCTCAACCGCTCAACTATGACGTCAAGTCTATGACACTGTGTTAAGAAAAGACAGAGGCAAAGGGAAAATCAAAGAAAATGTAATAAACAGAAAATTCAATGTTTTGTAGATGAATATGGAATTTATTTCACTCGTGAGACAGGATTTTTTGATATTTTCACTCGTGCTTCGCACTCGTGAAAATATCAAAAAATCCTGTCCCACTCGTGAAATAAATTCCATATTCATCTACAAAACATTGAATATCCTCTATATATATAATTTTATTTCTCTATTACAGATGTGATATGGGTGATTATTCAGGTAGATATTGGAGGATTATTAGATATAACTCAGAAAATGTCTAAATTTGGGACGGACTCACAAGGGCATTCTAGTCATGCTCAGCCTTTACCAAATCCTTTTGCTTCCCCTGTGAAAAGTAACATTAGTGAAATCCCAAGACCAAGTTTTTCCCCACAGCACTTATCATTCCCAGGAAGTCCTGTCAGTAATATGTCTCCTAATTCTTCAATGACTGCCCAGTCAGGAAGCCCATTTGCTGCACAACTGAGCCCGGCTTCTAATACCATGGCAGGAAGTCCGTATTCTCAACAGATGACTTCTACAGTCACAAATAGTTTTTCTGCTGCATGCTCACTCTTTCAGGTAAGATTTTAGTTCAGAAGTTCATACAATATTGCAATTTTTCAACATAAAAAAAGGAACCATTATTCAGTTAATATTAAAAGTCTGTCTCTTTGGAGAAAGGAGGATTTGAATGAAAAATATTGAAATGTTTCTGATATATCTTCTTTGATACATGTAGTAACACACCTTGCATACAGACTAAAAATTTTTAGGAGCTTATTCATTTGTTTGATAATATTTTTTTTCCATCAAAGATTGTGACACAAAAACACCATTCATTGTATATTTCCTGTAAAGTGCTTGTGAATAGTAATCAGACATAAAATTTTGTTAGGACTAGGGCCATTTTTTTTCTATATTTAGTGAGGTTGAGAGGAAGGCCAAAGTCCAAAGATTTCTTACACAAACATTCACAATTCTATAAACATAGATTATTTTGAAATTCCCATGGTAAATCTCAAAGTATATTAATAGAGCCAGGAATTTTTGTTTTAGAAAAATCAACAGATATGAAATAATGTACAACACATATAACTGCTGTTTTTAGAATTTTTTAATTTATTTTTTCAGACACAACCAGATAAATCCTGTGATCTCCAAGACTCCACATCTGAATTAGACATATCTTAGCATTGATTAGAAGACTTTCTTACAAGTATAACAAACACTGACTCACACGGGAAATGGGACTCAATGACTACACCACAAAGACATAGAACTTATTTCCATCTTTGTTTTAAGGGAGCCGACTGGGGTTTTATTTGTGTGAGTGTGTGTATAAAAACTACCATAGAGAAACTATTTATTTATATACCATGTTAAGCCTACACTTACTTCAGTGTACATGCAAAGTTTCAGAAAAAATCTATCGGCTGAGTATTTTTTAGGAACCATCTCAAAATACAGTTACATTTACTATAGGATTGTATTGAGAAATGCTTTTTTTTGTATTTCAAAGCAAATTACAAAAATACTACAATAGACTTTTTTTCCTCAGATTTTAACATGTGATAAGTAATACTATACCAAGCATTATATATAAGAAATACCAAATTCCACAGTTTGGTTTCCAGAGGGGGCATCTCAAAGTGTCAAATTTACGAAATTTTCCTGTTTTTATGGAATACTTCAAAATATGACAGATATTAAGGATTTATACAGAAAATAACCAGAAATAATTGAGGTTTTCAAATCTCTTTGTTTAAAATTTGAAGAGCATCTATTTTACCGGTATACTTTTTCTTTTCTAATGCTTTTTGTGACCCCCTCTTTAATAACTTCAGTTTATCATACAATGTAACATCAAAGACACAAAAATGACGTCCATATACCTATCGGTTACAAAATCATCTTAAAAGTATATAAAGTAAGATTTTTTACTCCTGCTTCCTTAATTGTGTTAAATTTGATAAACTCTGTTAATATTAACATTTTTATTTAATACACTGGATGAAGTATTGAGTAATGGAAACCCCAGTCAGCCCCCCTTAACAGATTAAACTGTATTTTGTATTTATAGAAGTGATGATGATGATTTGTAAAGTGTGAACATATCAAGGATCGATTTTAAAAAGTTAATTTTCTCTTGTATCTGATAAAAATCTGTCTTGTTCAAACTTAAAGGAATTGAAAAACAAGGAAAAAGTAAGTTTGTACATTGCTAAACCTAGATGTTCAGTGTTTTATGCAATGTTCAGTTTTCAACCAGAGCTGACATAAGCTTTTAACCAAAATGAAGATGTTTTATTACAGTTTTACGTATCTTTGAGGATTCCGGCTTCTTGTATATCTACATTTCCCAGTACACAATATACATGTATGTGCATGCATGAAAATGATACTTTTGTTGGATTCTGACATAAAAATAAAAGCTTCTTGACTGAGAAGCATAAATGTGAACTAATAAACTGCCTTGTGTTGTTCAAAGCAAACATAACACCAAAATTGTAATTAAGCTTTATTGAACTTAAGGTCTTGCATTCAACAGGAGTTATCCCAATCCTGCTATGCCTAAACTGCCAAATATATGCTGCCAAATCGAAGGATTTATGAAATGATAAACAAAGGTTATCAAATATTACAAAGCTCACCTCAACAAATGTTGTCTTAGAGTTAAGGCAGAATCTTACACCAGGCCCCAGGATCATGAAATAGACTTAAGTCAAATTTTCTATTGCCTTTGAAATGTTTGATAATTATTGAATTAATCTCTAAATTTGCAAATAACAACACTTGTGAAGCAAAATTGAAAATTAGTTTAAGTTTGGTCTGCTTGACCTCTACAACATTTTAGCACAACATTAAAATTTTGACTTAAGCTTAAATTGTTTCATGATCCTGGGGTCAGGCCTCAGAAACATGAAACAGTTTTAGACTTGGGTCCGAATTGTACATTATCTTTTTATTATAGAAAACACAAATCTGAAATGTTATTAAAATTGTTTTCCTTTTATGTTGTTCATTATAATTTTCAAATGTTAGTAAATAATAATTAAACATTTTATGAATTACTAATTAAAAATGTTTATTTCATGACCCGGGCTAGATGAATGTTCCTGTAGTGTGCATCTCTTGCTGCAATATTCATGTAGGCAAGGTTCTGGTAGCCTACTTTCGAATGCACCTGTTCCAAAAACTTCAATCATCCAGAAATTGTAGGTCAGATCCCGCATCTGATTGAAGCCTAGTAGTGAACATCCTAGATGCATCAGCCATGCAAACTAGGTCACCATAGGGCTTATAGTTAGTTGGAGTTTGATTTGCTCCAAACTCTTGAATCTGTTCAATTATCTAGGAAATGTAGGTCAATTCAGCATCTGAAGTAAGTCTTAAGTGTGCAAGTTTGGTCTTTCTAGGGCGTATACAATTTAGTCACTTGAAAATTGACCTGTACCCAAAACTTAAACTATTCAATAATCTAGTTGCAGAACTGTAGCTCCCAGGCAAAAATTAATGACAGTCTATGATCGTCCATCCCAATTTTATCAGACCAGCGAGCTACAGATCAACACTATCAATAATTCAGAATATCTAAAAATATAGGTCAGATCCAGTATCCGAAGCAAGTCTGGTAGTATGCGTCCCTAAATGCACCATACATGCAAGTACGGTCATCAAATGCCTTATAGTTACTTTAAAATGGACTTGCTCCAAAAACTTAAACCTGGTCATTCATCTGGAAAATTTCGGTCAAATCCAGCATCTGTAGCAAGTTACCCATAAAAAATACGGGTCATATCCATCACTCAAAGCAAGTCTGGTAGTGTGAATCCCAAAGATGTATCATTAATGCATGCAAGACAAATTCGATCTTAGTAGGGCTCTCAGGTACTTAGCAATGGACTTGCTCCTAAAAATTAAACCGACACACGAAGCTGGAAGTATAGCATAAGGCCATCTTCACTTCGTCGAGGTGAGTTGAAAAGGAAAATTAAATTTGAAAAAGAATTAAGAGAAAGCAAGAGTTACCAGTTATTCTGGCTTTTTTTTACGATTGGCTTCGTGTGTTTGTTTAAAGCAATATGAGCTGCAACTTTGATGTCGGAAATTTTTGTAGCAATATAGTACTTAACTATTTCAATGACAGAAAAAAGAATGTTTATAATCTTGTGTTGTTCATATTTGCGATGGAAGAACTATTTATATGCTTTGATTTAAGCAAATTTACATTATTGTCGTCCTGTACAATATTGATTTTTTTTAACATAATACTATATTCTATTTCATATTTTATCTTATTTATAATATTTTATATTATATTTTAACACTTTATTTTAGTCTAATTGATCATAAAGGTTTAGATAACAAACAGGTTTATCATAACAGCACATTTTTAACAGAAAATAAAATTTTCCAAAATGCAGCTCATATTGCTTTAAAATCAAGCAAATAAACATATATTCTTGATTCGAGATGTATGTAACTGACTTGCTTCTGAAAATCACAGGTGCTTGAAGACAGGAATCCCCCCTTTCGATATAGATCCGCGGGCCGTTTCGACTTTTTCTCATAAATTATCTTTTAATGTCATATTGACATAATCCATACCATCAATTCGAAAAATTACCTAAAACAAACATTTTGTAAAAATATAAATCTCTCTCCCTCTATATATATACAATCAAACCTCGTTATCTCGAATTCAATTGGAAACCGAGAAAAAAAAATTTCGAGATATCGAGGATTAGAGATATCCAGGGTAAAATGAGCAGAGAGTTCTCGTCGGAGATTTACGGAGACAGCCGAGCGTCTGGTTGAACGAGACTAATTTTTCCTTTCAAAATATCGGAATCGTATCGCTAGTTATTTTAATTTGACGCTCAATAATTATTATCGGTCGCCCACGTGGCGCAATGGTTAGAGTGTCTGCTCTAGAGTCGCGAAGTAAGGAGTTGATCCTTACGTCGCGGGTTCGAATTCCACTGTGGGACGTGGAGACCGGTCCTTCGGATGAGACCGTATAAACCGACGTCCCGTGTCGCAGTAGGTGCTGGCACGAAAAAGATCCCTCACTGCTCAATGGCCGTAAGTGCCGAGTATAGGACAAAATTTGTAGCTCTCCACCGGCAAGTGGTGGCGTCTGAGTTCAATCGGGTCAACCACATTGAATGAAATCCACACTGAATGACAAAAGTTTAAATGGTGAAAGACGATTGGATAAAATTACTAGTTTACGGAATCAAGTATGGCTGACCCGATTGAACTCTGAGGCTAATCGAAGGTGAAAATGGAGCTTATCTCTCGAGACGGACGATCAACGGTCCCTCAAATATTGTTAGGATGACCAGAAGCAGTTATATTTTTAAACATTGCTCTAAGATAGAGTGCAACAGATGACAAGTGCGGAAAAATTAAGGTAATGCACGAAAATTGCATGGAAAAAATGGTGTAGGGTTAACGACGGCGACCTAATTCTCGGAAGTTCGAATATTTTTTTCCAAGTTTTAATGAAGTAAGGTAAATGATCAATTTATGACAATAAAGGACAACATTCTGCCTTTCGACTGGCAAGACTTTTTCATGTTTTTTTTTAAAATAAAAATCGAAGTTTTTAGAGTTTGAAGCGAGGCACCGAGGAATTAATGGCGACTCGCTAGGTCTCTTCTACCCTATTATACTATATACCCCATTTTGCTAAGATTGTCTCAAGTCTCTATGGGCACGAGCTCTGCTATTGTTAATGTTTACGTTTCACCGGGTATATTCCATTTTTTAAACTCTGCACACATCACTGAGCACGGACTGACAATACTGGTGAGTTGGTTTTGCTTTCTTACATTTCTACTCTGAATTTTCTGGATTATAGTTTGAATATATATCATTAATACACAACAAAAATTTTACTTTTCTTAAGTATTAAGGATATAAAGTTTGCTTTATGAAAGTGCTAGGATGTATCAATCAAACGCGTCCCGAAATTTGTAGTTAAAAGAAGTTGTTTTTTTTTTTAATTTTATTTCCGTTTGAAATGCTATAGCAACATATAAGTCATGATATTATATCGAAAACTTGAGAAAATATTAACTTCAAATTTGTTTCCAAGCACCTTTAACGTCAAGTTAATAATTGAAATCGCATGAGATATCTCCCCCACTGTGTTGTACGTCTTTGAGGTAGAACCTATGTCGGAAAGTCTTTGTCACAAAATCTTCAAACTTCTTAAAATGATTTATTTTCCCTTGCTTATCCCTCAATTAAAAGGATATGGCATGTTTCCTTATTATCAAATTTTATGTAGTGCAACCTGTGCAACTAGGAAGGATAATTATACATTTCCAATACAGCAATTTTTAGGGATACATGGTCATAAGGAGAATACAGAAATACGTCCTCAAACATCTTCGTTGATAGTACGGAAGCCCATTTAGGACCTATCAAAAATATTTTCGAATTCAATATAACGAATTGTAGAATTTGTTATAACAAATTTGTTGAATTCGTTATAACGAATTCAAAAATTTGTTATAACGACTTAAATTCTTTTAAACGAATTCTAAACTTTGTTATAACAAATTTAATACGTTATAACGAATTCAAAAATTTTGTTATAAAGAATTAAATTCGTTAAATCAAATTCAACAATCAGGACCTATAGAAAAATATGTATGAATTCGATATAATGATTTGTCAAATTCGTTTTAACGAATTTAAATCGTTATAAAAAATTAGAGAATTCGTTTTAACGAATTTAATTCGTTATAACAAGTTTCAGAATTCGTTATAGTAATAGAATTCTCTAGCGTGTTAAAGATTTAGATCAGTAATAGAGGGAACCTGCCCTCAGGAAAACGAATGAAACAATGGAGGTTTATTTATTTATTTTTTTAACGTAGTATGTCATAAAAAGAGTCTCCTTAAGATGTAAAAATTTTTCCTGACCAATCTAGTTTGTAATGGAGAAACACTGAAAGCTCATACCTGATACAAAGATTGCTTATGGCCTGATAGTATGTTATGACCTTGCACCAAGGTCACTTGGGGAACACATAGGTCACTAGGAGAAAAAATGATAATTTTGTCCGGTTTATAACTCTTTAGTGGAAGAAAATGCTTGACAAAAGATTACTTAGCGGGTGTTCTTGATCTTGACCCAAGGACATTTGTATTAATTCATGGTAACTTTCAGAAAAATATATAACTCTCTAATAGAAAATCGTTGATAGCTGATACTTCACATGAAGATTACTTTCGAACTGCGGGTGTGTCAGGACCTTAAACGAAGGTTATTTTTCAAATTCAAAGTCACTTTTAGAAAAATGTATAATTCCTGTCCTAGCCATATGTTGTAAAAGAGAAACATTGGTAGGGGTGAGTTAAAAAAAAATGACCAAACGCATATTTATCAACCCACAATAAAAATACAAGTAATGAAAATAGATTTCTATGTCTCGGCATATGTCTTTAGATAGTGTCTAAATACCTGCCAAATATCTCGTTGATATCTCAATTAACAAAAAAGTTATGCCCCAAAAAATGCTTAAATTGTCAGGAGTACAACACCTTTTTGTGACATTTTGAAATTTCAATATTTTTTGGAGATCTGTGAAATAAATAATGCTTTATGTTGAAAATAAAGACTTTCCTGATAATATTCAAAGTATTGAGCTTTAAATGTGGACTGTAGTTACTTTCGTTTAATCAAGTTGTGGTCATGGCTGATGTTTAAAATAATGTTATAACATGTCAGGAGTGCAACAGAAAAAATTTAGTGTTGCCAAAAAAACATCAATTGTAAAATTCTGAAAGAAAATTAAGACAAAAAAAGATTTTCAAAGTGTAAACAATAACTGATATACATTTTAAAACTTAAAAATGTTATATAAATCACAAGCAGCATTAATGAGAGTCAAGTATATGTGCATACCCAATAATGTCAGGAGTGCAACATTTGATGTTTTACTCCCAAGCATGAAAAAACTATTATCATTATATGATTTTCTGATTTTTATTTTGGAAAATAAAGACACAAATAACATTTTTACCAAATAGATTTATCAATTACAGGATCTGTCTGTGCTTCATATCCATATTTCTATGGTCAGGAGTGCAAGACATTTTTTTTAAAGTTTCAAGTTGTGTGACAAAAACACTTCTATTCATGCTTAAAAGCATTCATTAATTAATAATGATCTTTTTGTATAATTTAATGCTAATTTATTGACAGTTTTATTATTAAAATTCTTCCTTTTTCAATTTTATCAATTCAGATGTGTTTTTATCTTTTCGTGATTTTTTTTTAATGAATGTTAAAAATAAACACACTAAAAATTGTCATAAAATTCAAGTAATTCCTCCTCAACTTCACTGAAACAACAGAACAAGTTATTATGTAATTTTCACTTCACAATTCTACTTTAAAGGCCCCAATGCTTTTGGCCAGGAGTGCAACAAATATGCTGGACTTATAAATCATCCAATAAGAATAAAAATAAAGAAAAAATGATGAGTAGAATTTTTCTGGTGGGTTACTGTGTTTATCCTCTAAAGGAAAATATGCTATAAAATATTTTTTATCTTCTAAATATACATTTAAGCTAGTTTTTTTGCAAAAAAAAAGAATAACTCCAGATAAAATGCGAATTTTAAATACTTTCATCTGTTTTGATTATGAAGTATTGGACTAAAAATATTGCACAATTTCATTACAACTTGATGTTGCCAACACTTTATGAATTTTTGTGTTCTATGGTTTTAATTTTAAATTTTACTGCAGTCAGGAGTGCAACAAAACTGGTTTATAATTACCAATGTTCTTTAACTATCTTTACTAAAAAATAAGTTAAAAAAATGTTTGATACTATTTGATGTTCAAAACACTATGTCTATCAACAAATTACAGAAATTTTACGGTCAATTCAAGGAATAGTTTTCATCATTTCACATATATTTTAAATACAATTTATATATATTACACTTTGCAAATAATCTTGTTTTAAAGTCTTCAAAATATGAAAAACCTGCCGTAAACGATGAAAAATATCAAAACAACAAATTGATTTTCAAAGTAAGAATGGGTTATCGTGTGTTATAATTTTTAAAACAATGTTAAATAAAATACATATCAGATGTCTGGAATGCAACACAATAATGTAACATAGGGTCACTTCAAAATCTAATATTTTTTGTAAGAGAACTCGTATATAAAAAAAATCTGGCTTAGATTTAAAGAATTGACTTGAACGGACAAAAAGTGAATTTTGGGGAATTTTATTGCTTCATGTTTTTTTCATATTAAAACCTTTCAAATCAGAATTGAAAAAATAATGTAAAATAACAATCCAAAATCCAATTTTTTGTCACATACACAAGAGAAGATACTCCTTCAAGGTCTAGATTTAATCATTTATACCCCTTGTACCATTTTGAAGCATAAAAGCTATAATTTCTTGTGATTATGTATTTTAGAAAGTTTTGAAGGTGTAATGATATTTTCATTTTTCAACAGAAATTTTTCTAATAAAAATTCTGAAACTTTTTAATCCAATTGTCTATTCTATTGCCACTTCAGGATTTTAAACTAGAATGCATGTGCAATATGATAATATAAGTGAAAAATATGTTATAAGTAGATGATTTTTTCCAAAAAAAAAATTCAGTTTGGTGGTCATTTTTTTTAATTCACCCGTAGTTTATTCTTAGCACAAGAATTTCTTTTGACCTGAGACTGTATTAAGACCTTGACCCAAGGTTATTTGGGGAAGTTTTATGTAACTGGCAGAGAAAAAGTGTATAATCCGAGTCTGTTTATCATTAGTAACGGATATTTTTGTTATCAAACACTTCTTTTATTTAGCATACAGTCGTTGAAATAATATTTAGGATGATAACATGTAGTATTGAACTCAGCAAGTATAATTAAATAATATTTCAGCCCCTAGGATGACCTATTGATCATGACTACAGAAAAAGTAGTCTCTAGATAATAAGAGTACAGGTGACTCCCATCATCCACTTCTGTCCAGACCTGATCCCTTGCTTTTAACCGGTAGGCAACAAAGTTGGAGCCTGACTGGTAATTAAACCAGGCGATTACTTTAGCCTTTAGTGAACCATTGATCATGACTCTTGTACTAAATTTTTGATTGTTATCTGCAACTATGGTAGAGAATATGATGTAGAGGCCTGTCTTTGGGGCGGTAAACACACCTGTTTTGGGGTTATATCCTCCTCCCACCTGGTATATGATTTCCGGGAATATAATCTTTTCTCCTTTTGAAAATGTTGTGTTGTCGGCACAGCATTTAATTCCAGCCGTAAAAGCTACATTGTGGGTAACACCTGAAAAGGGATAATATTTGCAATTTTGCAAATTGTTTTTAGTTTTTATGATTTTTTAAAGATTTGAAGAAGGTCGGTTGTGCATACATACCTGCTAGTGCAGCTCTGTCGCTGTGCAGTTGCAGAAGAGACTGTGTGACATTCTGCATCTTTGATTCTGTAAGTTTCTGTTGCTCTGCCTGTACCAGTTGTTGCTGAAGTATGGAGCTTAGCTGTGTGGCCATTTTGTTTTTTACGTCTGAAAGTGAAAGTGATAAATTTTTCTCCTGGACTTTTAAATCCTTTATGATGGCAGACATGTTGTTCATCATTTCTTGTTCGCCGTCTTTGACTCTTCGACTTAACTTCTCAGTTAATGTACTTTCCAATCTTTTTGCATCAAGACTAGAGTGTATGAAGCTAGAATTCAGACTTTCCAGTTGGTCTTTCATGAAAGCATTTTGTTTTAATAACAAAATGGATGTGGATTTGAGGTTGTGCAGTTTATCCATCGGTATGGTGTCTAGTGGTAAGAGAGGCAAAGTGGTGTTCAAACGATCAAGTTCAAATTTCATCATTTTGTTTTCTCTTTGCACAGTTTTAAGCGAATTCTCCAGGGAAATTATTTTCGTTTGGACTGTTTGATTCCATTGTTGTAACTTCTGAATCTGCTGATCATGGACTTTTTGCTGAAGCAGTTGATTTTCTTGTTTGACAGCTGTCAGCTCTTTCATTACTAATTCTAAAATGGTTTCCAGATGAAGAAGCCGTTGGTGAACTTTAGAATCCACTTGTCCACTAGAGGTTGCTGTGGCAATGGCTTGTGTTCCATGGAAGAACAAAAGATTTGTACTCAGAAATATGAAAAGAAATCCAAAACTGCTTGTAGTAGTTTGATACATTTTGATGATTTGTTTTAGACATGAAACGTTTGACTTATATATACACCTTGTTATCTTTAATCAAATATAGACGTCTGTTTGTTTTCATTGATATCAATCGCTCAGGATAATGTATAAAACTAAAGGTTCATATGAGGTCAGAAACGTGCATGATTTCATTGTTTTTGTTCAATTTGAAATTTCTAGGTCACCTTGACCCCCTACAAACAATTTGGGAGGGTTAGATTTTACAAATATGTGTTGGTTGCTGTGTCCATCATAGTATGATGAAATATCTTGTCAAGTTTTAGTTGCTCCTCGATTGCATCATCGGGTCATATTGTATTTCAAATATAGATAGAAAGTTCAACAGTTCTGAATTGCAACTCTGGGCTTGTCCTTGCTCACAAGTACTGTCTTGAAACAGTTGTGAAGAATCACACAGCATAGAAATTTGAAAATGTCTTTAATCACACATTTAAAAAAGAATTAGGCTTGTTCCATTCATGAAATATTACCATTAATCATTCCACATTACTGTAACATGATCATTGATTGATTGATTATTCTTGTTTTACGCCAAGTCGGCAATATTTCAGCCATATTTCGGCGATATTATGCTATAAACATAAAAAAATTGTTGACCTTCCCCAGCTCTAGGGGGCTGAGCAAACTTGAACAAACTTGAATTCAACTGAGTTAACAATCATTTTGAACCACTAAATATTAATGCAAATGCATCCATAGACTGAACTCATGTCTGATATAAAAAAAAGTTCAGTTGAATATGCATGAATGTAGGGGGAAAGAATTAAAAATATTATCAAGAATAGCAGGACCATAATTAACTCTATTCGCGTTCCGTCAACCAAAATTTATATATACACAAATTCTGCATCCAAATTTATTTTTGAAAGGGGGAGAATTTTTACTACTTGCACAAAATTTACACCTAGACAGACACAATTAGGTGGAATTAAAATATAGTAAATTTACTCATGATGTATTTTAAGCCATGTGAATGTGAAACAAAATTAACACACATTTGTATTGACATTGTCTATGTAAAGCATTACATCATTTGTCTATTAAACATTGCATCATGTCCTGAAAAATTGCATCATGTCCCATATAACCTTCACCGTGTCATTAAGTTCAAATATTACTAGTCCCTTCCAATGAAACTGGGGGGGGCCAAAGCATTGGTCTACTGGTGTGAAGTTCAAATAGCATTTTAAGTAAAATTTGAACAAAGAATGGCAAGCAGAGAGGAACTACAAGGAACGATGAGTGATGGGAAAGAACAAGGAATTAAAACAGTCTAAAAAACCAAAACAAGTAATCCATATATTGCTGTTGAAACACAAAATAAAACCAGTTCAATGCAAAGTTCGCAAAAACATTGCGTTTAATCGCAATAATCATTGCGTTTAAAAGCAAAAGATTGCCTTAAATCGCAAAGTATATTGCGTTTAAACGCAAAACACTTTGCGTTTAATCGCAAAAGATTGCGTTTAAACGAAATCTTTTGCGTTTAAACGCAATGATTTTGCGCAATACTTTTTGCGTTTAATATTAGGCTTTAAAAGCAATAATTTTCTTGCGTTTAAACGCAATAATATTGAGAAATAACGCAATAATATTGCGATTAAACGCAATTCATTCGCGATTAAACGCAATAATTTTGCGTTTAACCGCAATAATTTTGGCGCTTAAACGCAATAACTTTGCGTTTAAACGCAATAATCTTTGAGTTCAAACGCAATATTCCTTCCTTTTAAGGATCAGTTTTGCATTTAAACACAATGATACTGTAGTTTCAAAATTAGACATCAATAAGCCAAAGCTTATAATTATTAGGATCCGACTCTTCAAAGAACCGTTTGGTTCTTTGTCTTTTTGCAGAATTTTCCAGTTTTTTGAAAATTGTAGTAAAACAATGGCATTCTAACAACCAGAATGTCTTAAACTTATTAGAACCCAACACTCTTAATGAAGCCTTTGATCAATTGCTTACGTATCACAATTAATTAAGAACGCTTCAGTGGTATTAATACATACTTGTCAATTTGGTAGTATACATCAATCAATCTGTTTTCATTTGATTTTGATCTCATATGATTCCATCTCATATGTTCTTATGTTTACTGTATGCAACCATAGGAAAGGTTGTGAATATACATATAAGTCTAAATAATTCATCAGGTTGTACGTAATTCCAAAATTTCATTAGTCTTTTCCTGAACCCATTTATACATGGGTTAAACTTTGTGACCGCATAGTGAGGGATAGTTATTAAACCATTTTTTTTCTTCTTTAGTCTTTTATTTAGAAGAACCATTCTAATTGTTTGCAGAAATTGTTTCAAAGTAGAAAAAATAACAAAATGGAAAAGTGATTTGTGATTGTAAGCAACTGACCAAATCTTCATTAAGAATATAGGGATCTAATAAGTTAAAGACATGTCTCGTTCTTAGGTTGTCTTTGTTTTTAAAACCCGACATTTTTTTTCTCCTCTATAAATTCACATCAGTGATTTATTCTTTCAGAGAGCGTTTGCTCGTAGGATTCTATAAAGCTAGACACTACACAATTTCCTAACAAGCAAAAAAGAGAAAGAAATAAAATAGATCAGTATGCGTGGGTCCGTTGTATTCTGCAAGGTTTGATACAAATGACTGCCTTTAAACACAAAGATTATTGCGTTTAAACGCAAAGATTATTGCGTTTCAACGCAAAGATTATTCCGTTTAAAGTTTAAACGCAAAATTATTGCGTTTAAAAGCAAAAATTACTGCGTTTAAACGTTAAAATTTTATTGCGTTTAAACGAAAAAAGTATTGCGATTAAACTCAAAATGTTTAGCGTTTAAACGCAATGATTATTGCGATTAAACGCAATGAAAAATATTTCTTGCTCTAAACTTGACTCAACGGGCTTCAGATGAGACTGCAATTATATTCTATCATCAAAGTTTTACACAGAAATATTGTAGACGTACTTTTTTTCTTTGTGGGATTTATTTCCGTTATTTGTCATGGTGAATTTTAAAAGTGCATTTGACATACAATGGCAATCCAAGACATCCGCGTTCTTTATTCTCGCGGGTTCAACAGAAATTGTGATACCGTGGGATTAGGACCAAGTGGAAATAAGTACGTTTACAGTACATAAAATTAAGAAAACCAAACAATATTCATTTAAAAAAAAATAATAACACTATGGCTAGTCAATTTGTTTGTTTAGCAGCCATATTAGTGTCATTCCTGTTTAAAAATCTGTTTTTCAACATCCTAAAAAAATCAATGTCATATAATTTGCGATAGGATTAAGACTCCCCAGTCTTCCCATCCTGTTTCTCAGTCCTAAGCTCAGCCTTGGTTTGGAAGTTTTAATTTTTCTTTTCCTTATCAAGGATTTGATGTGAACAATGTGTATATATGGGAACGGTCACAATGTCTGCTATACTATTTAACCTGATCACTTTGATTTTGATGTTTCCATCAACAAAATATATAAATAATGGACAATCAAGCAACTACTTTTCAAGCTCATTGCTTCTGATCTTGCTCCTTTTTTATCGTTCGATTGGGAATTGTAAATCATGTTCTCATTAATTTTGCATCCGAACTTATTTTGGTATTTTTTACGAGGCTTTGACATAGGTGGCTACTTATTATATAAACAAATAAGCTTTAATGTTACCCAGTGATGTTATTATTTATCTAGTGAGAGCTTTCTGTAGGTTCAGCCACTTTAAAATTACCAAATGCTCATTTATTGCATCCCAGAGGACCGGGCTGCTCTATACATACAAGTTTAAGTATCGAGGTGGGAGAAGTTATTCAGAATTAAAGGTTTATTATACATTAAAAAGATTATACAACAGAATGTTCTTTCCCTTTATAAATTATTTTATTATAAGTTTAGCTTTGTTTCCTTCATATACAAAAAGCATATTGAGCAGTACAGAAATAATCTTAAATATAAAATTAATACCCATAAAAATTTCAGAAATACAAATTACGCCTAAGTCCTTAATCTAATATCTCCATTTGTATCTATTCTGCCATCATTATGACATGAAACATGGAGAAAACAAACAGTATTCAAGCTCAGAGTCCGTTTAGACCGTACAAATCGGGAGCAGAGCAAACACGGGCCTCCAAAAAACATCAGAGGTGGAATCAGGTGCCGTCGAGGAGTGAGCATCCCTGCCGACCGGTCACACCCGCCGTGTGCTCCTTGTCATGATCAGGAAAAATCCGTAGACAATTCAGTGTGTGAAAAATGGCCTAGCAATTAGTATGAAAAACGTCAGTAAGCATTTGACTTAATGACAGATTGTTTTTGCTGACAAGGTCATTGATATCATTGTTTCATCAACTTCTTTGTCAAAAGCTTGCCTATTTAGAAATTGTTCATACGTTGAGCATGCTCTTGCTTATCGAATCAACTGGGAGACAAAAAACAAATGTGCAGGTGATAAGGGTATATTGCTACATAAGTAAAGGAAGTTGACGATTGAAAAATTGAAGTCATCACGTTTATAATAAAAGCTTTGTTGTTAGGTTACCATTAAAGTCTTTCTCTAGTAAAATATCCATATACTGTTCAGATGTGTCAGACTCTGTATTTTTTTCATTTCAAGCTCACTGGGATATATCGAGTCGACATATGAATGGAAGTAACTATTGTTAACTGATTACACATCGTCGATGCATCTAAATGTCGAGTTGAAGGCCACAGCAAGCGTTTTTTCCTTCTCGTGTAGAAGTTTTTGAATAAATTCTGCTTCATATGTCTTCTCATGTAGAAGTTTTTTAATAAATTCTGTTTCATATGAATACAAAAATAGGTCTGCTAAAAAGGGGGCGCAATTGGTACCCAAGGGATTTTCTTTTTCATATTTAGCCCATCATCTAATAATATTTATGAAATTATGACGCCGGTTGAAAGATCGGAGTTCCCTAAGCGTTGACCCTCCTAGGTAATTCAAGGTCCTCATTATTAACTTACTT